TACATTATGTAAACACAAATGAGCTATGAATACCCTAAAAAGAATTCGTGTCTTTAGCTTATTGCTGAGGAGATTCTGCATTTTTATGGTATTTTTTAAAATGATGACGTGACCTTCCTCAACAAGAAGGGAACAACTGATTTTCGAATTTCGAATTGAAATTTTCTATAGGGATAGACCTTAACAAGAATAGTTCATTTTGTAAGTTTCAAGTCTTTTAATATGATTTTATCCTAAACTAAGAATATTAAATCTGTTGATTGATATAAGTGATGTAAAAGACATACTGTTGCTATAGTTGTATCTTAGAATAGGGACAGAAGTAACATCTGAAACATTCACAAAAAAAAACACTATTCTTCTTAACATCTGTCTTGATGACAAGTTTCAAGCCGAAATTCGAAAATCAATTTGTCGAGGGAGACCATTACATTCATTTATAACATACCCTATTAGTGTACTATCTACGCAGCAATAAGTTAAGAATACGAACTCTTTTCAATGTATTCATAGTTCATTTGTATCAACATAATCTACATAGTCTTGACTCAAAAGCGATTAATCAGTTAGAAGTCTTCTCTCATTAGGTAATCTTGTTAGTTCTAATTTATGATAATTATTGAATAAAGTTATTTAATCCTCGATTGCTAAACTTTTTCTAGAATTCTAAATGGCTTAAAAGAATCTAATTAATTTGATTTTCAACGATGGCTTTTTCCGAAGGCATGAGTCAAACAATTTTATAAACGATCAAATTTACATCAATGTCATAGTTTTGTGAAAGTTATGTCTATAACCTCAGATTCTGTACATAAGCAAAAATATTTTTGGTTAAATAGCGACATAACCATGCGTTATGGAATTTCAGCTTTTTACGTTGTAACATCTATTTCTCATCAATGGCAAAAGCAAACTCTTTGAAACGTTTATTATACATAGAGACTGTATAAATATATTATTAGTACGAATTTAATTGATGTTCTTTTCGCTGGAGCGGAGCGATTTGGAAAATATTAGCTGATACGAAATTTTAAAGAATGGAATGTTTTTCACGATGGGATGAGAGTTTAGCATTTTACTATAAAATGAAGGGACATAAAAATAAACTTTCTATATAAAAGTTATTCAGATTTTAACAACGTTTCAGAATATCAGGATATTTTTTAACAAGTATTACTGCATCGAATGGCAAACTAAAAATAGTGTTCGTTATGGAATTTGATCGTTTTCCCAAAAAATCACAGTTTAGACCAGGATGAAAGCAGAAGAAGTTAAAAGCGACCAGATCTCCATCATCAGCATCGAGTTATGCATCAAATGATACATTTTTACTAGAATTCAACGAAAACAACAAAAATTTCAACTTTTCCACTCGAGAAAAATACAAGTTGAAATTTCGATTTAATAAATACTCTAATCTGCTCAGAATTTTATGCTAGTTCCAAATATGTGCATAATTATGGATAAAAACAGTTCAAAACGGTTACTAGTCTAAAAATAGCACAAAACTCAGTATTTCTAGGAAACGAATGCAAATATTAAATGAGACTGTGCTCAAAATGAATGTGTTCGATCAGGATTATTGAGTTTTGCCTGGAGACATCGTTTTTGTTGCGAAAATAGAAACAGTTTTTAAAAGCATTATCTTAGCTCGTAGGCATCAAATATTTCTCGAAATGTTATATGTCACACAAGTTTTCGAGGTGTGCACTCCAAGAAAGATTTCGCGTATCCAGAGCGTCCAATACTATTGATCAATAGAAATGCTTTCGTTTGAAATACTATCGATCGTTTTCTTCGATTTTAAGTTCGAATCATCCCCATGTATGGATGCCTGACGGCTGTTCATGTTGATAGTGCCTTCGTATTCTGTAGTTCACAAAAATTTCTGTTTAATGAAGAAAAAAATGAAGCACTTCTTTCTTTGTAAAATACATTTTATTCTATTTATATAAAGAGCAAAAAAAAGTATAAATAAGTATGTATGTGTAGCGAATAGAAACAAACAAAATTAGCATATATTAGAAATACAAAAGAAGGAAAAAAAAAGAAAAAAGAAAGAAAAACATAGTCATGGTATGGACGGGAGAAAAATGATTTTTTGATATTGTTGATTATATATTTATTCGATATTGTTGCCATCTATTCTCTAGAAAGAAGAAAGAATAAAAATTAGAAAAATTTGTTTGATTTATTATTTTTATCGAGCAAAAAAATTAAGTTTCAATAGATAATATACAATCAAACATTTTCATGCATAACATACCGATCTAGCTCGTAATTTCCTCAGCATTATGATCCGACGAGACGACTAGTAGATGTATTATAGAATTCATGCTCAAGACCAATCTATCTGAGCATATGCTCACTTTACTGAATATTCATTTCACTCAGCATCGTATTGATGAAAGGTCAAATGACGAATTATTCTTCCCAAATTTTGCTCATAAATGAACGGATCTCAACTCGAAACAAAAACATACGTTTGATCTGTAATTTTTAGAATATTCTAATGATATCTTGAAATATGTCTATAGGCAAAGTTTTAAATAAATGATTTGTAAGATGATCATGTATAACTACTATAGTCAGACGATGAAAACTAAGTAAACTGATCATAATTCCAGATAAATATGACATGAACACGACTTTTTGTAGACTTCTTTCAGTCTTATCAAGTCATGAGATTCATCGCAGATATTTTTATGACGGCGTCAGCGACAGCTTTTATTTTAGAGAGATCGTAAAATTGCATGATTTTGCATGCGATTTGAATGTCTACAAGTCTAGCAGGCAGAACCTGATGAATTCAATCTAGTTGTGCTAATTTAATACGGTGACGGAGGAGGTTTTCGAAGAAATTCTCGCAAGTCATTGCGATTGGAAATCCATCACCACCGCAATAGATATCTCTGATTTATCGAATCTCGGATTGTTGCATTTGTGAACAGTAAAATTCCTTGAAAACTGATACAGTTTGGAAATGTCCTCCGGAAAAAACTGCTGCTGCCGCGATGGCCAACTCTGACGAAATATCGGCTCGATCGATTTGTTACCCATAGAAGCATTTCATAGTTAGCTAAATTTGGCCTCTACCGTAGAAATTTTTCTTAATTGATAAGCTTCAGCAAAGAAAAGCAACGGTTTTTTTCCGTTTTTTACTACTTGATACTTTGATAAAATAAAAATACCTCTTACTGTCTGCTAGATTATTTATAGCAGCTTGAATGCCAATGAGCCATTGTTGAGCTTCATGTTGATTACTTAGATATAACTAAACAGAAAGAAATTTTTTTTTTGTTCAAGAAAAATAAATTTCATTAAGTTTGAGAGTCGATTTCAGGTCCAACTTCATTTGATATTCAATTTATTATCCGTTTTGATAGAAATTTTATCTTAGATTAGACCAAATTAAAGACATTAATGATAGAGCAATAGATATTTTTAAAAAGTTTTTTTGCAATTCATGATCCAATTAGGATGATAGTTTATTCAATATTGAAGAATTAGATGAACTTTGGATCTGTTTATCTTTCAGAATTAGACGTCAATACAGGACTAAATCTCATTCAAAATTGGCAGGGTTCTTATATTCATTTTCTATTCTACAAAACAGATCTAAAATTATTACTCGTCGTTCAATTTTTCTTTATTTTCAAATAACATAAATATCTTCTTTAATAATAATTCACTCAGAAACAATGCAAAATAAGATCTAATTTAACTGTGCTTGATCAAAATGAATTTATTCGTCTCGTCTAACTAATTAGTTACACTTGAAACAGTTATTTTTCACTGCTTGTCAAGCTATTTAATATTAAAATACATTGATCGAGTTATGTCATATGAACAATGAAGTTTCTCTTGTTCACTTTTTTAAGCCCCCCCCCCCCCAGAAAAAGTCAATTTTCGTCAAAAAATCCGAAATTGAGATAAATACATGGGAAGATAGCCCGTCATCGGCTCTTTCATAAACGATAATTTGTTTTTCTCGTTACTTCATTTTTCCCAAAAAATTTTCAGGATTTCTGTCAACCCCTATTCGAAAAAACAGCTTTTTTTGGAAAAATTAAAAAATGCTTTTCGTTTTTCTCAGTTTCCGCTTTCTCAAAAGCCCATCCCAAATTTCCCCTTCCTCGTTCATTCAATGCATCAATATATTTTTTTTTTGGTTGAAAGACTGTCTCAAGGCGCAGGGCATGATGAGGCCCTTTTTTTAATTAAGCCTTTGTTTAGTCAATATACAGCCAGTTATATGATTTGATTACCATTTTTGGACACTTTTTTCAGTCATTGAATTTGTGAACCCTTTTTTGTGCTTAAACAAGGACTATTTCAAAAAAAAGGACTCCATCATGCTCTGCAGCTTGAGATGCACCTTCCAACAAAAAAAAAATATTAATATATTGAACGAACCAGGACCGAAAAATTNAATTATCGTTTATGAAAGAGCCGATGACGGGCTATCTTCCCATGTATTTATCTCAATTTCGGATTTTTTGACGAAAATTGACTTTTTCTGGGGGGGGGGGCTTAAAAGAATTTATTAATAAATCAATTGTTGATTTACATCTGTTAAATCCGTCACTCAAGTATTAATCCAGCTAATATTAGTTTTACATTAAACTTGTAATCATGTTTGTCATTCTCTGCTTTTTCTCTGCTCTCGTTTTATTGTCGAAGATGTCGCATTCGATTCCAGTGAATAGATCATTCTTAAAATTTTAATAAATACTTCATTTGTTCATTATTATGTTGTTTCATTGAACTCGCTGTAAAGCAAATAAAACATTACATGACGAGTTGATGTGTTCTGCCATGAGCTTAATTTTGTTCAGAATTAAGCTTTTACTATCGTCTAGTCAAAAGATGGAAGGACAAAACTTTATAGCATTATCATACTAGACACATTTTTATTTGCTTCTTAATCAATTTTATAGAGAATGTTAAAAGCTCTTTTGAATACTTGAATTTTAAAATACTTCTGAGTACTTGTTTAGCTAGCCTGTTGAAACAATACCATCTCGAATTTCATTCATTTGCTAAACTGTGTTCTTTTCAAATAACAAAACTTCTAAATTAATAGCTGTGCCTATCTTTCAAAGAATCTTTTTACAATCATTGATACAATTTCTAAATTTTTTAAATAATTTACATGATAATGTTTGGTACGATTAGGTTGAGGTGACCAAGTTAATTCAAGAGATGGTCCATATTTTTGATCGTCATATTGAAGTACTTTTGCTCCTATATAATCATACAATGATAATAAAAACAATTATATTTATGAAAACAAAATTCTTCGTTTTTCTGGTACCTTTAAGATTTACTCCTTTATATGGAGTTCTATCATTCTCATGTTTATGCATCAAAAGTGCATTCTTCGATAAAACACAATAATAACGTTCAACTCGTTTAAGAAATGAACCTATTATTAATAAAACAAAAACAAGATTTTGAACTTAGAATTTTGATTATATTATACTTCGATTTTGTTTTCGAAGCCATCCTTTAACAACATTTTCATATTGCGAAGCTGCATGAGTTGCTTCTTGTGGTGTAAAATAGATTGAACCTGGATCATCATATCGCACCGGTGTTTGATTGAATTGCAGTGAAGTTGTTTTATTCGTTGGTTTTAATCCTTCTTCAGTTAGAGATGATTTACGTGGTATTAATTCCAAACTTCGATGTAAACTAGAATTTCTAGCCGGTAATGTGTGACTATTTCTTGGTGTTAAATTATCTGTCTCAACAGGTATTGATGTCGAAGCAGAGGATAATGATGAAGCTGATCGATTTAGTCTCATATCAGATGTTATTATTCGTCCAATTTGTTCATCATCATTACGAACATTTGTAATTAGTTTTTGTTGTTCCATCGTCATTTGTTTGGAATCATGATGACGAATACCAGCTTCATTATAATACAATGATGTTGGTTGATTTATATCATTTGTATTTGATTGATGAATTATATCATCAAGACGATTAGCTGCAGCTGGTTTTTCTGTTAAAGGTACAGATGCAGCTAATAAAGCAGCGATTGATGGACTTGAAGAATCAGCAACAGGACGTTCTGGATTAGCTGGAAAAGCTATAATAGAAAAAAAGATTTGATAACTATTATATATATATATATACGAAAAAACAATTACTATTAATAAGTTTAGCAATGGTTGATTCATCTTCATTATGACTCGATGATCCACGATGATCGATTCGTGGAGCAGGAGGCTAAAAAATAGAAAAATTTAGATATTTTTCCATGAAATTCATATTTAGTTTTAATATAAATATTACGGTCAATAATTGATTTTAGAAAATGAAATGATCTAGGTTTTCTCACGTCATATATTGATAAAATTTCTTCAACGATTCATGTTGATACCTTAAATTAGTTCCAGAATTTTTCTGTTTATTTTTTTAGCTACTATCGATTGAGGACTGAAATCAGAATTTGAATTGGTAAATTAGTTTTGTACCAGAAAATATACGATCGGATTAAATGAGACTAAGTTGCATACTGCGCTTATTTGTTTAGATTTTAGATCTAAGAAGGATTAACATGTTTTTAGTCTTAAGATTCATTTTGAAAAAGTAAACAATGAAAATATGGTAGTGTTGTCCTTTTCTTTCAAAGCGTAATATTACATACTACAGCATTCTTATCTCAGCTATTAGTCTGAAGAAGTGATGTTTATTGCGGCGACGACGACGTCAGCAGCAACTTTTTTATAATCACGGTGACAAGTTTTCAGCAGTGATGGATATCTCTGGTTTGAAGTTACATAAGTATCAGAGCTCTCGATAGATTCAAACAAGTCCAATCGGCATTATAAACCAACACTTTTTGGCAATAAAAATCATGATCTGGGCTGTGCTAATCTAATTTTCCGATAGACTATCGTACGCTATGAGCTTTGACTCATGGATCGATGGATGCTAGTTCATCGATCGAATTCAGTTATTTCATTGGCTCAAATTGTTGTCAATGAAAAACAAGTAAGTATACGAAGAATAACGACTTAAAAATTGAAGTAATACTAATTTATCAAGAAACTGCTGACACAAAACCAACAGATTTAAATGGCCAAAGTATGTCATTAGTTTACATAGTTCGACAGAATTTTTATAAGATTTTTTCAAAATCCTCCACATTTATGGTTCCAAACTCGCGTTTTGTGACTTCCATAACCAACATTTATGTTTTTCGGGTCTGCATTTTTGCTCCTCATCCCAAGTCCAATATTCATATTCAAGGAAGCGATACGGTAGATCACCTTTTGTGAGTTTTTCAGACCGAAGATTTAGCTGTTTCCTCATAAATGCGTATCAGATATCTGTTGCATAGATGTACTACTATTCAATAGAAGTTATACAAAGTTTATGCCGAACTGCTCTACAGCTTGCCTCTTCATCTATATATTTTGGAGCAGAAGATATCTTTCGAGCAAATACAAGCTTCAGCATTTCAATAGCTTACTCGACGGCAACATGTGGTAATCTATGCTGATACTACGAGAGCAGGAGAAGGAAAAGAAACGAGAAACTATTTAGCATGTTGAATGCACGCGATACATAACACACTCATCAGGATTCAAATGTCACAACTTAGCAAAGATAGAAATTCTTAATCATACAAAACGCTTCATCTTCTTTCACACTGCGTCCAGAAATAACAATGTGAGTTTTCAAGAAACAGCATTATTCCAAAATGCCAATACTCGTCTCATTGAGAGAGAATACTGGTTCACGGGATTCCTACTCTCACCCCTAGAACCATACAGACCACTACTCCGGAAGTACTGAAAAGATAAGTTTGCTGAGAAGCCAAGAACTCTTTCCGCAACATCCACAGCTGGTGCAATGCACCGTGTATGTATTGTTGTATATCTTCATTGAGAAGATGCTTCACTAGCCATAGGACCATAAATGTAGAAGATTTCGAAAAAAATCTTAGATATATGATAGGGTATCATTGTATGGTTTGTGTAATGAAAATTCATGATTTTCACTACAATCTTGGTCAAAAATTCACCATTTATGACCACTTATCTCTACATTTATGGTTTCTGTTACGATGTATAGAGTTTCATAACAATTTGTTGTCTACAATACAATGCTCTTGATAGTAAAACCATAAAGGTAGAGCTTTAAAGTCATAAATATAAAAGGGATATCAAAATTGGTGACTTTTTCTAATTGGACATTTCTGATCTTCGGAGCGACTATCTCATTCTGATTGGAAAATTTCATTGAGAGTATCAAAGTAGGAATCCAGCGGTTTCAAAAATGTTGGGTCCAACGGACTTTACAGCCAATGCACTGGGTTGGGCCAAAACTCAGTAACTTATGGGCCGACTTTCATACGTTCAGTTCAGTTCATGACAAGATCTGACAAATAGATTCGAAAGTCCCTCGTCCATACTTCTGACTTTTATGGATACTAGACACGATCAACGCTGATATTCTTCAATAATTTTCTCTTAGATTTTGTTCATATAAAAAAATGTCAAGATTTTCTTTTTTTTCTTTTCTATAAACCTTTCTACTTGATCGTTTGCTTTGATCTGTAAGAACTGAGGATGAATTGGAATATTTTCTATTCGTCGAAACATCATTCAATGTTTGTTGTTCATCATCTTGTTCATATGTTTTATAATCTAAAGAAACAAGACAAAACCAAATAATATATGAAATTTTAGTTTTACTATTTCATACGTGTTGACTTATCTATCTCTGTTGTCATTTGATTTTTTCTATCATCATATTCACGTTGTTCATGAATAGATAAACGTTCTCGAAATTGATCACGTTCTGTTTCAATTTTAAATATTTTGGTTTTTAAACGTTCAATAACTTCATCTTGTTCTCGAATAATAAACGTTTGTTGATTAATCATATGTTCTAAATTTTTTAATTTTGATTCTAATTTTTCACTTAATTGTTGTGTATCAGTTTCTAATTGTCTTCCTAATTTTTGAACTAAATCTGTTAATTTTCTTTCAACTACTTGATTGCCATCTGTTGTTTGATTTGGATGATTTGGATGAACTATAACAATACCTGAATCACTTCCAACAGTCGAATAACGATCTGTATATTGTTGTTGTTTTTGTTGCAATGAAGATTGAAATGCTGATGAATCATCATCACGAGTTTGAGATAAATAAGGTGTTGAATGAGTAAAAGAAGTTCTCGGATTATTTTGTTGTTGTTGACGACGGGATAATGAATCATTTACACTTAAATTAGTAGTACTGACAAAATGTTGTTGACGATTATGAACTGTTAAATTATCAATAGTTGGACTTGTAAAAGATGCTGAATTATTTGATGGGGATTCAAAAGAACATTTTATTGGTTCATACTCCTGATCTGCATAACGTAGACTAACACCAATACCATAACAATTTGATAATTGACGATCAGTATCAGTAGATTGAGGAGCTAAATAAAAAAAATTGATCTTACGTGAATACACATAAGACATTAATAAGAAAGCAATAGGTTAAAATAAAACAACTATTGATTGACATTTGAGAGAGATTTTGCAATTCGAATAAGATTATTAAAAACAAAGAAAATTTCAATCGAATCGAAATCAATATGTCTAAAGTCTTTTTGAATGGATTAAAAAGAAATAAAGGTTATTTGAAAATGTTTTTATCAAGTTAAGTCTATAAAGAAAAGTAATGAAATTTTAGTATATTCTTTTGTTCTTAACAAATACATTGATGAAAACATTTGATTCTTAAATTTTTATATTCTTCAAGTACTTTTATTGAGAATAATTTCACGAATTCAAAGCTTTATAAACCTTCAATAGTAATAAATTGTAAAATTTCGATTAGAAAAAAGAAAGATTTATTTCAGATCGTAATACGCCTTTCTTTCTCTTACTCATTCATGTCATAGTACATTTATTCTTGTCTAAGTGTCTATTTAAGTATTACATTTAAATACATTGCTAAAGTGTATAATGTCTCAAGTAACATAATTCTATTAGATGTTCTTATTTATCGTATGAAAAAGAAAATTTAAGTAATTTATCTTAAATTCATCTACAAAATCAAATCACTATTTCTTTTATCTCTAATATCTATACTTTGATAAACATATGTATTAGTATCAGTCGTCGTTGGATCACTTTTTAGTGCAGCATATTCTTTAAGTGGTGTATATTGATAATTAGCTTGAAACATTTCTGTTGTTGTGTTTTGGTCGCCACTTTCTATACGATTTTGTTGTTCTTGATATTGGCGATTTGTCTTGCTACCATCGGTATATTGATCTGTATAGATAAAAAAACAAATGCTGAATGATGATAGAGGAATAAAACAAAGTAACAGAAGCATATAAGTGATAAAATGCAAGTGTATATAAGTTCTAGACGAAGAAGGAAAAAAAAATGAGTGAATGAAAAGGAAGGAGAATATTTGAAAAGGATTTATATTCGTTCATATGTATTAATCACGTCCATGATGATCATAATCATGCATGCGCATGAACTTCAATACTTTTTCTTATTGCTAGTGTAAGTAATATCCCCTATGGGTTGAATCATAAAAGTTCCTATAGACTAACATGGAAGAAAAAGAATTGCCAATATACATAGTTGAAAATTTTTTTACTGATTCAATGATTCTATAGATTTTGTGTCTAGAAGAATATGAAAGCATTTTTTTATTTATAGCTGATAGGGATTCTTCTGTTTCTTGCTCTATTGAATTTTGATCTTGGAGTAAAATTTAACATTTAGCAATAGACATATTAACCATGACTATATCTTGAAGGTAATTTTAGTGCAATTTTTCTTTTACCCTTCGTTTGCGATGAAAGATGTTCATTGAATTCATTTATTTGATTCATTGTATGGGGTTGTTGTTGTTGTTGTTTTTCTTCAAAATATCGAACAGCATTAACAACAGTCGTATCTTTTGTTGGTATTGTATTTAATTTTGGTGGTATACTGGCAAAATCTCGATAATCTATTGCTGATGAATCAGGTGATTTTATTTGAATACTACCATTTGATAACCGATAAGATGGATTGGCTGTTGTTGTTGTTGCTGTACTACTATAATTACATTTGTCACATATAAAATGCGTGTTTTCACCATAGTGACAGATCGTTTCAGGTTGCACACAACGCCAATGATACGAACCATGACATAGTTGACCTTGATAAAAGGAGAAAAAAAAATGTACAAATATATTCCGATTAAACAATAATAAAAATTTTAATAAAAAATACTAACAAACAAGAATTTCTTCAAATGAATATAAAAGACGTTTGCAGATGTTACATGCCGTTTGTGATGTTGATGATTTTGATGATGTAAAACCGAATGAATTATTTGTTGAAATGTTTTTTGTTGTTGTCGTCATCCTTGAATTACTATTTAAAGATTTAAATAGCAATGAAGACAAATGTGGCGACAATAAACCTAAATCATTAAAATAAACATAGATCGTTTATAAAAGGAAGAAAAAGTAAATGATAAACAAGTACATGCAATGCTCTTTCCCTTTTTTTTTCGAGTTTGTTATGTTTTCACACAGTCTCAAATAGCATGAAAACCTACATAGAATTGTCAATCATAACATAAATGCATACACCTGCACCTCTATATGACTTACCTCGTATACGAATAATGTAGTTTGATGATGCTAGTAACGAATTTGCAAGCATTTTTCAATCAATAAAAAACGAATTCTCTTCTATTTTGCGGTATTTTTTCTATTTTTTTTTCATCTTATCAAAAATTGTAATTCATGTCATTCATTTATGAAAGAGATTCAGTTTTACGATTTCTTTACTTGGTTGATGATAAAACTTCTTATTCGAAGACTTAATTACGTATATTTCTTTTGTCTAAACTATCTCAAAGACCAGTTTAAATATCTATAGTGCATACCTTTTGATGTATAACAAGTGCGTTTAACGTCCCCTGGCAATCACACGAGCATTATAAAATTTACTGTTTTGTCACTAATTCAAAACGACAATACAAAATGTGTACACATTTAGTTTTCGTCTTGCTCATATAAGAATTAGAAGTAAAAATAAAAGTGACTTCTCTCTTTCGCTTTCTATTCGTTCTTTTTAACGGCATCATCCTTCGTTTTTTTTCTTCGTTTAAAGGAGCCTTGTGTGTTGCTCTCTCAATCGAGTGTTTTTGTTTCTCAATCAACACTGATTATTACTTTACTGTTACTCTCTTTCTCTCTTTCTTTTTCTAAAACTGAACGTAAATCATTCATTAATGTGCATATGTATTTATATTTATATATAAATGGAATTCTAAATACGCGATTAAACGTGCACAAACGTATGTGGATGTCTTTTCTCTGTATATTTGATAAGAAGCTCTTGACAGTATTGAAAGAAGGTAAGCGAAAGAGAGAGAGAGAGAATGAGAGTATTTACGATACTCACCATCATCATCTTCATCTTCGCATCATCTAATATGAATGAAAAAAAAAAGGAAAGAGAGGCTAATGTTTTGTGTGCCAATTTCTTTTACTTTTGATTTTTCGTTTTTTTTCTTATATTCTTTTTCTTTCGAAGTAAATGTATGAGAACAAGAAGAAGAAATGAAGAATATGTACTGACATTACTATTATTACGCTTTATATTTGTGCGTGAGTTTATGTTAGAAATAAGAACGACAATGAGGCAGTATTGATTATTTGAAAGAAAGGTAAGCAAATATGTTAGAACTACAACTAAATGTACCGTATTGGAAGAAAAAAGTATTGAATGACACTCATGCACTTTTTTTTCTTCGATATGACGACCACCTGTTGTCAGTCCACATTCTTATATAAAACTACGGTTTGAGTAGAACGAAGGCCTCTGTCTTTCTCTTTTTTCTTTGTTTGTCAATAATGAAATAGACATACACGCACACGCACACGCATATATATATATACCAGAATAAAATATGAAATAAAGAATAATAAAAGAACTAAAGAAAAAAAAAACTTATATGAATAAATATCCTGCTTATTCTGGCCTTCCTTGCCAAAGAACAGTGAACCTATAATCACTTTGAATAATAATCCATAGACAATCGCTTCTTTTTTTCTACTTAGACACATCTAAGACAGATTTCAAAATCATTTGGAATAATGATCTAATATTTGTTCTTTTTTTTAAATTAGATTTAACTTGAAATAAAAGTTCTTTCATAAATGATCGAAGAAGTCCAATGACAATTATTCTTTTTAGGATTTTCTGCTATTTCAGTTATTCTTATCATATATTTATAGTTTTCACATTTTATAACAAAAGCATGAAAGCTTAAAGAAAAAAATAAGATAAAAAATTAGCTGTTGAATTAAGTTCTTCAATTTCATTCTGTTGTAATTCTCGTGAAAATATATAAAATTCATCGAGTGAGCCAATAAATTGTTTTTTTATATCTAATTCATCTCCAACAGTACAATTTGCTATTCTATCATGTATTCCTGATGTTGTAGTTATTGATTCATCATAACCATTATTTAATCTAATTGCATCAGTTCGGCTTTGAAACGTATTTCCTTTGTAAAGTTGAGCTTTATTTTGACTACTCCATGTAAATGCAACATGTACCCATTGACCAACATTCATTGATGAGCTAACTATATTTACATCAACACTTGCATTTGTTGCATTAGGTAAGATAAGCAACAATACGATTATTACTATTACGAATACCAAGTACAAGACAACAAGCCATGGGACTAGCTATGGTAAGGAAAACTCCAGATTGGTTTTCCGGTCGAATTCATAGAGCAACTGTAAATGCATGATAAGATATATCTAATACTGTAAACCCTGTTGCCTGATAATAAGCACCAATAACAGTAAAATTTAAAGCATTTCGCACTAGACTAATTACAACTTGTGTGTTTTCTGAAGTGGCATTTTGATAATTTGAATCATAATCAAGTAACCAATTCCTACTATTATCATCAAAAGAATAATATCTAACAACAGCTGCATCCCAGAGAATTCTATCATTAGTTTTAGCTTCATATGAAATCGATAATTGATCCATAATACCCTTAAGTCCGGAACAAATTGCCATCGTGATATTTCCTTTTTTAGAATCGATCTGTGTTGTGTATGATAATTGTCCAACGGTTCTTCCATCGAGATATACCTTAATATTTTGATCATATATTACAAGCAGCTGTAATGTGATGATATTCATTTGCCAACATTGATATTATCGAAGAAACCATAGTGCTTTCATTTAACGTAAATTCTAAATAATTTCTATTGATATTTATCGATATTCGAAATGAAAAATGAACAAGACTTCCATTGATTGAATCATTTAGTAGAAAAATAAAGGTTTCAATAGTAAAATTGATGTTACTCAAGTTGAATGGATTTGCAACGAATATTCAAGTAGGATATGATTCATTGAAGACTATAGCTTCACCAGTATCGATATTACCTTGTACATAATTTTCAATACCTCCTTTTACTTGTCCATCATGAAGGTAATTAAGATTAAAAACATTATGATCAAAAGAATAAAATGCATAAACAATTGAAACTAGAGCAAAAACAGTAATATTATTGTTATTATAATCCGTAGCCACTATAGATAGAAAAATAACTAACATCAAAACAATACAAAATGAATTTTATTTACCAGTAGTAGTTGCAGTTGATGATTGAATCCTTTTGTTACGAATTGCTAAAAGTGTTGCCAGAAGAACAACAAAAATAATTAGTAATGCTGTTAGGACAGCATTGAGTACATATCTTTTTCTCTTAAGTCAAGAACTATATAGACGAAATCAAAAGAAAAAGCAAACGATGAATGAACAAATGATAGGCATACCATTTATTATCATTATTTTCATGAACTGATTTCAGGTTCTATATACAGAAAGAAAATCTATGATGATGTTTATAATGAACTTTACCTTCACGAGATGATATTCAATGGATGGGAAAAGTTGAGCATCTATTAATATGAATAAATCAATAGACTTATAATCGATTAAAAACTAAACATATACTTTCAAATGGTGTTTCAAAAAAGAGCATGAAGTGGTACTTTTTGTTGTAAATAAACAATATATAAGTCAGGTGCTGGGTTTAATTGAGATTTTACTTCTAAATATGTTCCTGGTAATAATAATATTTCATCTTCAGTAGTAAAATGAGAATGAGCACGAATAGTTCGACCATTGATTGCTTCAATCGAAAAGAGAGTTCTTGTTCCAACATTTCCCAAATATAAATCAGATTCAAAAACACTTAATGATGTTGTACCAGATGAAAAGGCCCACCATGTTATTTTTTTGCCTGGTGGATGATCTTCACTAAGATCTAAATGTAAACCACGTCAAACTGTTTGAGGTGGAGCTACTGGTAGTTTAGCTAATGCTGTAAGAAATAATTTTAAATATCGAAACCATGGATGAAGTTTTGTTCGATCGATTTCTTTGAGAGTTTGATTAAGATGTACATAAAGACTCACCTGGTTCTTTACTATTAGAATCCCATTCCATTGTATATAGACGAATAGCAGCTGATTCATCTTGTGTAAGATCATCAGCAGGACTTGTTGAATTTTGTTTAGCAATCCAAATATGAACTGGTAAACGTGAAACAATATTAAGAAGTGGTTCACATGCTTCTTCTAATGATAGAACTGGTTCATGAGCATAACCTGATATTGGTTCTAATAATTGTTTTCGTTCATCACTAATACCAATTAAATAATTTTAATTAATATATTTCAATAAACTGGTGCTCATAAGTAGATGATCACAAATTATATTATATTATTAGCTTTGGTCTCTGGAGAAAAGAACAGAAATGCGTCTTACTCGTACCAAATTAATAAATAAAAAATAAATTGTGACTAAGGTATCTTGTATAAGTTGCCTCGATGAAATGCAATCAAATGAAGTGTATAACACACAAAAAAATATGATGGCGTCTGAAGATATCGTATATATCAAGGCCACTGTTTTAATATATAAAAGAAATGAATGATACATGTAGCTGTCAAGTAAATGAATAACTATTTACGTTTGAAAGTATTTTCATGTGATAAGACACGCCAATCATAAATAATGAATGAGACGAATATATTATATTTAAAAAATAGACTGAAAGAAGTCGTTTACTATTGATACATTGATGCGAATATTCATATTCGACTAATTTTATTCTATTCACCTGATAAGAAATAAATATAAAACTATCACTTTTATGGAAGTAGTAACTTTCGAATTCAATCGATATCAGCAAACTTGCTACTAGAGTAATTGCCATACTCACATTTTTCGCAAGATATCATTTATTTTGCAATGACAAACTAAAACTAATTACCACGAAAATTCTCTTGGCTATACACATTTTATGTAAGCAATTCATATTGTCGATTTAATTAGTTACAAGACATAGTTACAACATGCATAGAAAAATCGGAAATACAAAAAAAAATCATTTACTATTCACAAAAAGCGTAGAATTCAATTAGGGTTGATAATTTGTTTCAAGTCACTAACTTGTAATTCACGTGCAAATACAAACATTTCATCCAATGACCCCATAAATGTCTGTGACGGAGAAATTCCTTCAATACCTTCACAATTTGCTGCACCATTATATTTACCAAGTGTTATTATCATTGGAGAACTATTATGATCACCACGAGCATTATTAAGTATACTTGCTTCGCCACTAGCACCTTGAAGATAGGATGATGTATAGAGTTTAGCTCGATTTTCAGTACTCCACGTAAATGCTACATGTACCCATGCATTACTTGGCATTTGTGGCCCTATAATATTTACACTATCACCTGTTGCAGTTGCATTTGGTAAGTAAGCAACAAGAGTATTACTATCATTTTGAAATCCAAGAACGAGTAAACATGTATATGGATTAGCTACAGTAAGAAATATGCCAGGTTGAGTTTCAGCTCGTACCCATAAAGCTATTGAAAATGCATGACGTGGTGTTCCAAGTACAGTAAATCCACTTGCTTCATAATAAGCACCAGATTTATTGAAATTAAGAGCATTAAAGTGCCAACCATAGATGGGTATAACATCTGAAGCTGTGGCATTCAAACCATTTGGTCCTTTATCAAGTAACCATGAAACATCTAATGGATAATAAGCAGCAACTGTAGCATCCCATAAAATTGCTTGCCGAGATTTTGCTTTTAATGAAATGGATAATTGATCAATATAACCATGAAATCCAGCACCAATTATAATTATTGATGTACTATTATTTAAAGGAATTACTGGTTCTATAGAAGATTGTGTTTTTTCAACCGTTCCATCAATAGAAATAGTTGTTATTTGTTGAATTGAATCAGATACAAAACTAAAATGATGCCATTGATTGGTTGAAATTACTGAAGTACCTAATAGAGTAATATTTGATCCTAATGATGCAGCTAATACACCATTAATTAGATTCATTGATATAAATGGCATAAGTTGAATAAGAGTTGCATTCAATTGAGTTTTTCGCAACATGAAAAATCCTTCGATAGTAAAAGATGAACTTACATTGAAATCGAAATTAGGTTTTACATTGATTTGAGTTGGAATAGACTGATTCAAAACAATAGCTTGTCCATAAGCCACATAACCTTGTATATAACTAATAGACCCACCTACAACTTCTCCATTACGCTGAGAATAAAGATCAAACAAATTTCCATCGAATGCATAGAATGCATTGGCAACAGAAACTGGATCAGCTAGTGTTTGATTATAAAAAGATGATGCTTCAGTAGCTATAAGTAATGGAGAAAGAAAATATTGTTCCTCTTTGTAAAAGACTAATGTAATTAGAATATACTGACTAGTAGAAGTTGTACTCGATGAGGTTTCTGTTTGTGTTTTATTTCGAGTACCTAATGTAGCTCCTAATATGACGGCAAGAATTACTACTGCTAATACAGCAACTAAACCGAACCGTATCTTGTTATTCTTATACCAAGGCCTATTTAAATAGAAAACACAAATATTGATCTTATGAAACTAAGTATTTACCGAGAGTTATACTTGTTGTTTTGTAAAATTGTGTCTTTGAACTACAAAAATATTTCGGATGCTTTAATTTATAATAGATTATCTAGTTTTGTATTAGTAATGTGAAATCATAAAATATAAAAATTAGTTTCTAAATAGATTTTATAAAAATTTTCATTGTTTCTACTGTCTTAAAGACTATGCTGAAACTGTACTTTTACATTCATTCAATTTTTGATCAAATAAAAAATTATCTAACCGATTAAATGCTATTGTCTGATTACGTCGGAAGTTATTCCATGCATAGGTTTAAACTTTGTAGAAAAGTAAAACTTACCATAGCTTGATCAATTTCCGATAATGAAAAAAGTTGAGCACCTTTTCAACAATAAATAACAGATAAAAAATTGTCACATAATACAAAATACAAACTTTACAATACCTTCAAACGGTGGGTCAAGAAGAACATGAGGCGGAATTCTTTGTTGTAAATGAATAATATATAAATCAGGTGCTGGATTTAATTGAGATTTTACTTCTAAATATGTTCCTGGTAATAATAAAATTTCATCTTCAATAGTAAAATGAGAATGTGAACGAATAGTTCGACCATTGATTGTTTCAATAGAAAAGAGAGTTCTTGTTCCAACATTTCCCAAATATAAATCAGATTCAAGAACATTTAATGATGTTGTACAAGATGAAAAGGCCCACCATGTTATTTTGTCGCCTGGGAGATAATCTTTGCTAAGATCTAAATGTAAACCACGCCAAACTGTTTGACGTGGAGCTACTGGTAGTTTAGCTAATGCTGTAAGAAATAATTTTAAATATCGAAACCATGGATGAAGTTTTGTTCGATCAATTTCTTTGAGAGTTCGATTAAGATGTGCATAAAGACTTCCATTGGCTTCTTTAGTATTCGAATCCCATTCCATTGTATATAGACGAATAGCAGCCGATTCATCTTGTGTAAGATCATCAGAAGGATTTTTTGAATTTTGTTTAGCAATCCAAATATGGACTGGTAAACGTGAAATAATATTAAGAAGTGGTTCACATGCTTCTTCTAATGATAGAAGTGGTTCATGAGCATAACCTGATATTGGTTCTAATAATTGTTCTGATTCGTCATCAATAGAGAATAAATAGCGTTGATTAATATTTTCATTACGACTCGTACCCATGTTTTTCTACGAGCTCAATACTGCTTGTGCTTTTTTAAATAAAGACTATTAAAGGATGCTCCTCGTTTGACTGTTCTTTTTATAAAAATTAGTCATCCATGTCCAATGCATCTCCGTGATAGAATTTATTCCCATAGCGTCATTTATAAGTATGACAATGGTAGGTGAAGAGAAACAATCGAACATCGAAAATAGTCATACTTCGAGATATCTTTGTAATAGGTATTTTCTTTTTCTTTATTATTCACCTCCATGAATCATTCTTGAATATCTGTATGACGTTAAATATAAAAATACACAATGAAACTGATATGAGTGCTAAAGCGTGCTTTTAGTTAGCATACTTTATGTAGCAAATTTTTTTTCATTAAATTAATTTTTTTGATGAGTGAAAACGATTCAAAAGCTTTAAACTGACAACCATTATATGTTTTTTCAGTAAGCCAGGTAGACAAAAAGAAGGATAACAAGAATGTTAAAATGCGTTAAATTATCGTTTGTACCGTTTTAAAATTTTTAAAAATATTTATGGACTCAATCCGAGCTTTAAACAGTTTTTTCATTACTTTTTTCAGTGTGTTTCGATTATAAACTGCTAAAACGGTCTCATTTTGTTGCTAAGAAATGAATCACGTGCAAATAAAATATTTCTGTTTTTATTTAGATCATCTTAAATTAATCAAACATTATTCATTACAGTCTTTCACATACAATTTAAATATTCTCTTAAACCATAGTGGTCGAAACACAGCTCTGGAACTGAAACGGAAGTAAACAAATCATTTGACAATTAAAACATTTTTTTTGTAGTTGAATAAGCAGAAGTTTGTGTTGAATGTTCTTTGCTGAATGCTGTTGACTAGTGAATGAGACATAGACAAAAATGTATATTTATATCTGTAGCTTGAATATTTTGTAAAAAGGTATGCCAAGTGTATCTCATGTAATTTTTAAAAACTTTACAAATCTATGGGCATGAAAATCGTCGTGAGTTGTGAAGAGCACAATGGGAGTTTCGCCGCAATTTTCTGAAGTAAACAATAATAAAATAGTGTGATGCGGTCAAACTGTCACGTAGCACATTGTTACATTCGTATTGGAGACCATGAAAGGTTAAAGCATCAGTAGTTGATGATATCTTTACTTGTCCTATTTTTGTATAGCATGCATTATTAAGTGCTTACATCGTTCTTCTCTCTTCTGACACCTCAGATCTTCAAAGTACATTTTTCTTTCTTAGAAATGAGAACATCATACTTCAATAATAAAATATCGATAGTAAAGTAGTTCTATTTTTGCATTATTATAACTATTTAAAATAACCAAGTCAGAATTTCCCAATTTCATTGGTATCTCTATATATCTTTCTCAGTATTTCTTTCTTTTCGAGTTTCTCGCAATACATATGCATTCATATTTCGTCGAATATAATATCATGTGCTGGCTTTTCTCCTTTCGTTCTTCTTCTTGTGTCCAAAGTAATCGAACAGAACGAAAAAAAAGTTGCTTTGTTTTGTTTCATATACTTACTCATTCTATTTTTCATATGTTGATTTGTATTATATCTCGCTTGATATTCAGTTTAGTATATTCGGTGAGACAAAATTCTCTTGATCATCAATGCTTTGTTTTTATTGCGATTTTTCATTATGGATGCGGTGGAGAAGGCATGAATGAGTTTTATTGTTTGTGGGTGTGCGTTAGTGTGCGTGTGGGTGTGGCTCAATAGTGTCCAAAGTAACAGTCATAGCCACACCTATCCAAACAATAAAAACTGTTTGACATGTTCCAAAAGTCGCGTTTAAACAGTAAAAGCTCACGATGTTGAAATACCGTTTTTCCCGTTTGCTAGTCTGCCTAAAGAGAGAGTTGGTATTTTTCTTGTTTTTTTTCAATATGTTTAAATTTTGATTATAGTTTTTTCCGAGTAATGGCAATATGGCAACATTGATTGATTAGTTAACTTTCATGGAAGGATAAATATATTGTTTATTTTATACAACATTTTTTTTTGTACTTCTGAAATTAGTATAAATTTTCGTTATGATTGTTTTCTGATAATAAGGATATGCAGACATTCAATGAATCGTAAATTTTCACCAATTAGTAAATAGAATTTTTTCAAGACGTTAATAAAAAAAGGATTTCCATTCAGAATTCTCGGATAAGTAATTAAATATTAAAAACTGGAGTTCCAACAACACTTAATAATGTTGTACAGGATGAGAATGCGCACCGTGTTATCTTTTCGTCTAGTGAATGATCTTCACTAAGATCTAGACGTAAACCACACCCAACTGTTTGACGAATGAGCTACTGGTATTTTAGCTAATGATGTAAGGAATAATTTTAAAAATCAAAGCCATGGACGACGTTTTTTAGTCGATTCCTTCGAGAGTTGGATTAAGGTGTATATAGAGAGTTCCACTTGGTTCATTAGTAGTAGAATCCTATTCCATTGTATATAGATGTATAGTAGTTGATTCATCTTGTGTAAGACCATCAGCAGGATTTTTTGAATCTTCTTTAGCAATCCAAATATGAACTGGTAAATTTGGAACAATATTCAGAAGCAGTTTATGAGCAAAACCTGATATTGGTTGTAATAATTGTTTTGGTTCATCCCTGATACCAAACATTTAACGTCAGTGAAAACATGGTGTCCCAAAAGTCCCTTCTTAAAAGTTATTTCGTTTCATCTTACTATTGACTAGCCTGCATCGGATAAATTTTTTTGAAAAATAGATAAATATTCAGAGTTTTTATTTCTATAAACAAATCTCAAGAGCATTGCTGGAAGCTGAGATCTTTAATTGAAATACAAAGATTTAGCCTTTTATTTCTTAAAAAGCTTTACAAAGCATCTCTTATCTAATGAGTTCGAGTTGTTGAGTGATTCGAATCTTTCAATTGTTGAATACTTGAACAGCCCTTTTGCAGAATTTTATTTTGGTATGTCTTAACAAAGGCGAAATAAATGGTATCAAGTCAAAACCTAAGTAATTAAAATACACATAATCCATGAGTGTTTGTGAAGAGAGAAAATAGACTAAAGTTTTGTATTTCAGCTAGAGATCTTAGTTTTCAGCAATTCTTTTGAACGTTGTGTGTAGAACTAAAAACTCTATGTATTTATTTATTACCCAACAAAAAAATGATTCGATGAAGTCAAGGTCAATATTGAAATAAAACGAAAATAGTTTTAGGAAGGGCTTTTTAGGATACTCGATATGTTTCAATAAAATGGTGCTATACGTTGGCGATGACAAGTTTTATGCCATTGTTTGTTGTCATAGAGCGAAAACAGTACAAAAACACGTTGTATTTGTTCCAAATTAATGAATAAGAAATCAAGCGTATTGACACGTCAACAAACATGATGTCGTTAGAAAGTATTGCATATACGAAGGTCACTGTCAAAGTAGCAAAGAAAGAAAAAGAATAATGCATATATCTGTCAAGTTAATGAATTACTATTCATGTTTGAAATTATTTTCATGTGATGAAACAGAAAAATAATGATAATCATTTAAATTAACATATCACATTTGAAAAATAGACTGAAAGAAGTTGTTTGCTATTAATACAGTGATGTGAATATTCATATTCGACTAATTTTATTCTATCCTCCTAATTAGAAATATATATAAAACTATCACTTTTATTTAAGCAATACATTTTGCATTAAATCAATATCAGCAAATTTGCTAGTAGAGTAATTCTCAAACTCACATTTTTCGCAAGATATCATTCATTTTGTAATGACGAACTAAAAGTTATTACTAAGAAAATTATCTTTGTTATGTACATTTTATACAATAAATTCGTGTTGTTGATTTTAGTTACAAGAAAAAACCATAACATATCTAAAAGAACTTGAAAATAGAAAAAAAATCATTGCGTCACACTTTACACAAACAGATCGAAATCAATTACGGTTTGATAATTTGTGCCAAGTCATTATCTTGCAGCTCACGTGCAAATACAAACATTTCATCCAATGAACCCATAAATGTTTGTGATGTAGAAATTCCTTCAATACCTTCACAATTTGCTGCACCATTATATTTACCAAGTGTTATTGTCATTGGAGAACTATTATGATCACCACGAGCATTATTAAGTGTACGTGCTTCGCCACTCTCACCTTGAAGATAAGATGATGTATAAAGTTTAGCTAGATGTTCAGTACTCCACGTAAATGCTACATGTACCCATGCATTACTTGGCATTTGTGGTCCTATAATATTTACACTATCTCCTGTTGCAGTTGCATTTGGTAAGTAAGCAACAAGAGTATTACTA